AGGGGGAGAGTGAAAGAGTGACAGGCCATGTTGGAGTGGGGACATGAGAGAGGCCGGCAGATAGACAGAGAGACAAGAGGAGCAAGAGGCAAAGAAGAAAGAAGAGGCAAGAGAGAGAAAAGAGAGTGAGCTGTGCTCTAGCGGGCACTTTTAAGGGGTGTGCATGTCACACCTGGCGACAGGTGATGACGTAGCTCTGGCAGCAGAGGCAGCCTGCTGCTGCAGTGAAAACTAACACACCCGAGACAGTGTTTGTCTGTGTAACAGCCCTGGCTGGCCTGGATCTCGCTCTGTAGTCCAGGCTGGCCTCAAACTCACAGAGATCCACCTGCCTCTGCCTCCCGAGTGCTGGGATTAAAGGCGTGCGCCACCACCGCCCGTCCCCATTCCAATAATTCTTAGTAACATCTCTTTTAAATTGACCTAGCCAAAGCCTCCTGAGAAGTAACCTCTTCAGCACTGGGGCTGCTCTTGCGGTCCCTTTGCTCCTCTGCGGTGCAGGATCAGGTGCCGGCTCCGAGGAGCAGCAGCGGGGGTGGCGCCTGCATCCATGGCGCTCCCCGAGGGCTGAGCCCTCACAAGACAGGCCCCGGCTGCGAGGTCTGAGGCCGGCGGACTGGCTAGCAGTCTGGGTTTCTTCCCTAGGATCCTCCTGGAAACGCAAGCGGTGGCAGCGATGCCTCCCAGCATGGTTCCCATGACATCTGACTCCCCATTCACCGCCCACATCGGGGCCCAGAAGCTCTGGCCAGCTGCGAAACCAGAGCGCGAAAAGGCTGCACTGTGCGCGGTGCTCCGCAATCCTCAGGAGCGCGCTATCTTGCAACTTGTGCCTCTCGCTCCTGCCCGGCCCTGGCATGACGAATGTTAGTGTGGACAGGGTTGGGGTGTGTGTGTGTGTGTGTGTGTGTGTGTGTGTGTGTGTGTGTGTGTGTGTGTGTGTGTGTGTGTGTGCTCTGACGCCACAGGGTTGGTGTGTGTGTGTGTGTGCTCTGACGCCACAGGGTTGGTGTGTGTGTGTGTGTGTGTGTGCTCTGACGCCACCAGATGCCAGGTCCTTGATGTTTTGTGTGTGTGTTTATGCACATATGTACAGGCTTACTCTGTAGACAAAGTAACCTCGAACTCAGGGAGATGTGCCTTCCCCTGCCTCCCTGGTGCTGGAATTAACAGGCATGTGCCACCCTACCAGGCCTTTTCTTTTCTTTTTAAAGATTTATTTATTTTATAGTGTTTAACCTGTCTGTATGTCTGTACTGGTGGAGGCCAGAAGAGGGAGTTAGAGACCCTGGAAGTATTGTTACAGAAAATGTGAGCTGCCATGTGGCCTCTGGGAACAGAGCCGGGGTTCTCTGGAAATGCAGAAAGTGCTCTCACTCTGTAGACCAGGCTGGCCTCGAACTCAGAGATCCACCTGCCTCTGTCTCCCAAGTGCTGGGAGGTGGTGTGTGCCACCATGCCTGGTTGTGGAGATGCAGCACATCATGGCAGGAATGCGAGCTATTTATTTCATGGCCAAGACATGAAAGAAAAGAAAAAGAAAAGAGAGAGAAAGATCCCAGGACATAGCCTTCAGTGACCTGGAAACCTTTCTCTGGGTCCTACCTCTTTAAAAAGTGTTTTTAACCACTTCCCAATAGTCCCTTAGTTGAGAACATTCCAGACCCATTACTATAGCATCCAGTATCCAGTCTCACAGATGGCCGGCCTTTCTCACATCAAATGTCTGTGTGGCTGTTCCCTCTGTCTCAGATACCTTCTCCTGTCCTTTCTCAGCTGTCTGTGCCTCCTGCAGAGAGCCTCTCCTGACTGCAGCCTGCAGCCATTGTGTTCCACACACTTGGTTGTTCTTCCCTGGTCATAAAAACCAAGGCTGCTGCTGGGCTATGATATGTCTTCGGACAAAGCAGGAAAACAACATTCTTCCTCAAAATGCTTTCTTCTATCGACTGAAAGCTTTTTTTTTTTTTTTTTTTGGTTTTTCGAGACAGGGTTTCTCTGTGTAGCTTTGCACCTTTCCTGGAACTCGCTTTGGAGACCAGGCTGGCCTCGAACTCACAGAGATCCGCCTGGCTCTGCCTCCCGAGTGCTGGGATTAAAGGCGTGCGCCACCACCGCCCGGCTGCTTTTTTTTTTTTTTTTAAAGATAGAATCTCATGTAGTCCAAGCTAGTCTTGAACTCATTAAGTAACTGAAGATGACCTCAGTTCCCCAATCCTTTTTCCTCTATTTCCTGGATGCTGGAATTACAGACATGTTCCACCATTCTCGGGTGAACAATTCTTATAGGACATGCCAACCTATGACATATACCAGGTACAGGGTATTTATATCGGGGAAAATGATAAAACCAGATGGGGCAGCTGGATGGTGGTGGTGCACGCCTTTAATCCCAGCACTCAGGAGGCAGAGCCAGGCCAGCCTGGTCTACAATGCAAGTTCCAGGACAGCCAGGGCTATACAGAGAAATCTTGTCTTCAAAAGCAGATGGGGCTCCTTAAGGGAGTTTCCACAAACCAGCCCAGTGCTAGGTAGATAATCTCATTCACTGTTCCCAAAGCTCCATTTAGGAAACTTGACCTCACAGGTGAGGAAAATGGGGCGCCAAGGCCAGTTTCGAAGAATGTAGCCAGTAGGAGACAAAGCCAGCTTTGAACTCCAGAGCACTGATGGTCAACTGCTATTCAAATCAGATGCATCGCCACTCCACTATGGTGACTATTTCTTTTTTTCTTTTTTTTTTTTTTTTTGGTTTTTCGAGACAGGGTTTCTCCTTGTAGTTTTGGTGCCTGTCCTGGATCTCGATCTGTAGACCATGTTGGCCTTGAACTCACAGAGATCCACCTGGCTCTGCCTCCTGAGTGCTGGGTTTAAAGGCGTGTGCCACTGCCACTGGGCCCTATGGTGACTATTTCTATACCAGCTCCAGGCCTTAGGGTGACAGCCTTGCAGCAGGCCACATTTGCCAATGCCACACTCCAGAGTCACAAGAAGTAGGCCACAGATTGGGCAGCAAACGAAATGCATGTTATACAAGGAACCTTGTTAGAAGACGCTGGAGACCCAAGAGCCCGAGCCTATCTCCTGGGTATAGCTCACCCTGTAGCTCTTTGGATCAAGGAGTCCTAGAGCCTCTGCCCCAAGTCAGCTAGAAGAAGCCTCTCCTAGTGAGAAGGGTTCCATTAGCTCCTGGACTCAGGCATTTTTGAATCCAGAGTTGTACCTTTGTTGAACTTGACCATATAAAAAAGGCTATGCCCAAGGGCCAGGGAGCACGAGAGAGCCTAGCAAGGCAGATATAAGGCATGTCTGAATTTTCTGAAGCAACCAAGGGCAGGATAAAGGACAGTTCTTGCAGAGGTATGACCGAAGGCTAGAGCTACAGGAAGGTGGCAGAATAGTGAGTACTTTCTAGGCCTGGGGGCCAGAGGACACCTGACTTAGATGGCCTTGAGTCTAGTACAATTCTTTATTGCTGCTTAGCAGGAGGAACTTAATTATAGCTTTGCATGACACTAATTATTGCTCCTTCCATAGCTCTACTGGCGAAAAGTGGGGTGCCGTAAAAAGAGCCCCGTTCAAAGACCTGTGGTTTCCATACTGTTTGTCGCCTCCAAACCTTGTGTTGAAGTTTGATCTATAACTGTTGAGAGGAGGTAGGTAGGACCTGTGAGAAGTGACTGGCTGGGTATACTTGTTCTTGGGAACGAATTAATTTCTGTGAGAGTTGTGCCATATTGTTTTGTTTCTTCGTCTTTTGTCTTTATCTGCTTGTCCTGCCGTGAGGCCCTCACCAGAAGCTAAGCAGAGGCTGGTGCCATGCTCTGAGCCTCCAGAACTCTGAGCCAAAAGAGATTTCTCCCTTCATATGCTATGGAGTTTCAGGTATTTTGTTATACTAAGAATAAACAGATAATTTGATGAAGTTTCAGAAAGCTTGCCAACCAACCTCTACAACCTTCCTTGCCCAAACAAGTCAACCATTGTCTCACTGAAAAATAAAAACTGATAGCAGTGTCTTACTTTACATTCTTTTGGGAGAAGGTCCAAAGGGTCAGCCTGTGGCATGTGACCTTCTTTATTTGAATGACACTAGAAACTGCACATGTGAGCATGTACTAAAGCGACAGGGCCTGGGTTCAAATCCTGATTGTACTTTCTAGCTGTGGGACTGGATCATTTAACCTAAGGTACAGTTCCATCATGTGGGAAATAATGTTTATCTCACAAATCAATTCAAACAAAGCTCTAAAGTGGTAGCTGGCACATAGCAGACTACGTTAGCTATTGTGGTATTACTTGCCTAGCTACTTCAAGGTAGCTAGAGAAAGCAACAGAATTCCTAGTTCTCATTTTTGTTTGTTTTGGGGGACAGGGTCTCACTAGATAGCTCTGAGTGGCCTAGAACTTTGTAGGCCAGGTTGGTTTCAAATTGACACCTTCCTAGTGCTGGGGTTAAAGGCATTTGCCACCATGCCCTGCCTCTCTGCTGTTCTTTAAGGGAGATTGCATTTCAAAGTGTATTTAGCTGTGCTAAGGGAAACTGGGGAGAGGAATCGATCATTATCCAAGTCATATCTTCTTGTGGGTAAGGAAATGCCCAGTGGTGAAGTCAAGGCCTTGCAGGGGGAGATAAGACTGGAGTTAAGCCCCACCCCCTTACCTGAAAGTGATCCTGCTCCCAGCCTGTCAAAACCATGTGGTAGTTCCAGGCTTGCTTCTGTCCACTGTCCCCTAGGAGCACCTAGAGGTTCGAGGGCCTATCTTCTTGTTCATCTGCATTCCCAAACTTGATGCTAGGGAGATGTGGCTGAACTGAATGAGAAGAGACACTTTGGCAAATGAGTGGGGCCCAGATGGCTATGGTCACTGTGGGTATGCCAAGTCAAAGGACTTTGGAAGGGGCAGCGAGCTTGATCAAGTCTGGGTCCAGCCACAGCATCCCTCAAAGATCTGCCTTATCTTCACACTTGGAGATTCTGACCTTCAGTAACTGAATACACATTTAAAGTTATTTTATTTAAAAAAAGAAGAGAAGGAGGAAGAGGAGGAGGAAAAAGGACCAAACAAAAAGCCCAACCCAAGAAGGAGGAGGAAGAAGGACCAAACAAAAAGCCCAACCCAAGAACTCTTGGTTCTGGGTGTCTGGGAGCAGCTTAGGTGTGTAGGGAAGTCGACTGGAAGACAGTAGCGGACCTCTGCAGCTCTGGGAAGAACAAAGCCCAGGTGCTGACAGGAAGCACGGCGTTTTCCCAGGACTTAGTCCCTCTCCGGGGCTTGTGGTCATCCACTTCACACAGGTGGGGGGCCTCAGCCCCTCAAAAGACAGGTGGGGTTCTCAGTCCCCAGAAAAAGGCAGGGTAGGCAGTATTGGAACACCCTTGGATCTCTTGTCAAAGTCACCAACCAATTGGGAAGGAGGAGTGGGTGGCCCATCAATGCCATCCCAGAAAGTGGGGTTCAGGCGACACTGGGGTGGCAGGCTCAGATGCAGATGCACCTCCATTTGGACACAGGGCTCAAGCCTGTGGAGAATAAAAGGGCCCTAACGGAGCAAGACCTGGGTTCCAGGAGGCAGACAGAACTCAGGTACCCTGGGGGATGCGGGGCAACGCTCGGATGGGTCGAGGGGGAGGATTATCCAGGACCGGTTCCGGCCTCGACCGCACACCACCTCGGCGCTTCTGCTTCCGCAACAGATAGTTTGAATATTGCACCTCAGGCATAGCAAGCTTGAGGCAGGCCTCCGTGGAGGGGCCGGCACCGCCGCCAGGCAGGTCATAGCCCATGATGTCCACTTTGCGGCTAGGCTGCCAAGGCTGCAGCTGCTTGGTGCGAATCTGCGCCGCGGGTCGCAGCACCGGCTCGTCACCAAAGCAACGGCGCAGCAGACGCTGGCGGGCCTCGCGCAACTCGCGCGCCTCGCGCTCGACGCATGCGCGGCCGGCGCGCGCCACGCGGCGCCAGAAGGTGGCGTTGAAGTGGTCGTAGAGGCCGGCGTCGAGCGCGTTCCAGGTGCGCGCGGCCCGCGCCAGCGCCTCGGGGATGGTGGCCAGGCGCGAGGTGGCGGCGCGCGCGTTGAGCTTGGCGTAGAGCACGTCGTCCAGGTCCCAGGCCAGCAGGCGCCGCAGGAGCACGAGTGACTCGTCGAAGTACTCTGCGATCATGACGAGCGAGAAAAACCTCCTCCACCTGGCGGATGAGGCCCGCCAGGTAGGCGGCGTCCTCGCGGGGGCTGCGCTCGTTGTCGCCTCCCAGGTCGTAGGCCAGCGTGTTGTGCGCAAACATGGCAAAGTGCTCGCCTGGACGGTAGTAGGCCTCGGGTGCGCGCAGGAACGCCTCGAGCGACGCGTTGGGCACGCGCCGGAAGGCCGGGCAGTACTGGTTGTAGTAGCTGAAGAGCGACTCGAACATGGCGGCCGGTTCGCGCAGGATGGTGACGTAGACCGTGTCCGGCGGCATGAGGCGTTCGAGTTCGGCGCGGTCGAAGCGCAGGTGGCTGGCCAGCATGTGCGGGGGCCGCGTGGCCGGGTGCACGAAGTGCGCCGAGAAGTTTCGCGGGTAGCAGAACTGGTGCTCGCAGCTTGGGTGAGGCAGGGCCACGGTGAGATTGTGGCGTTCTGCGAAGCGGAACAGGATGTTCTGCACCGTGGTGCCCGCTGTCTTGTGGGTCTTCAGGAAGGCCACGGCCGTGTGCTTGGCACGGGGTGGCGACTCTCGCAGAGGCGGGCAGCTCAGAGGAAACAACTTGGGGTACCTGCAAAGCCCAGGGGGTGTGAGAGGAGATAATGCAAGGGGAGCGGTGAGTTTGGGGGACAAGGGCGGCCAGTGTGCAAGAGTAGACCAGCTGGGCTTTATTCTGTGATAGGAGAGATTGGGTGGCAGGTAGCCTTTAAGATGAGCCCTACAGGGCTTGCTAGCGTTTAAGATGAACCCTACGGCTGGGCGGTGGTGGCGCACGCCTTTAATCCCAGCACTCGGGAGGCAGAGACAGGCGGAGCTCTGTGAGTTCGAGGCCAGCCTGGGCTACAGAGAGAGTTCCAGGAAAGGCACCAAAACAGAGAAACTCTGTCTCAAAAACCAAAACCAAAACCAAACAAACAAAAAAGATAAACCCTAAGAACACTTGCTGCGCCTTCAAGAGGAACCGGGTTCAATTCCCAGGACCCACTTGGCCGCATTTGTCTGTAACTCCAGTCACACAGGCCCTCTTCTGGCCTTAGATGGCACTGCATGCAAAATTGCCCATATACAAATAAGGGGACTTGGGGGGGGGGGTGATGTGGTGGGGAGGAGGTAGTAAACCGGGGAACGTGGTGGTACACACAGGACTTTAATCTCAGCACTCGAGAGGCAAAGCTAGGTGGATCAAGGTGAGTTCAAAGCCAGTCTGGTCTCCATAGTGAGGTCTTGGGCAGCCAAAGTTACACACTGAAACTGTTAAAAAAAAAAAAAAAGTAAAAGAAGGAGGGGGAAGCAGTAGTGACACACACCTTTAATCCCAGCACTCATGAGGCAGAGGCAGGTGGATCTCTGTGTGAGTTCAAGGCCAGCCTGGTCTACAAAGGGAGTTCCAGGGCAGCTAGGTCTGTCACACTGAGAAACCCTGCCTCGAAAAACCAAAAAGTAAAACAAAACAAAAAACTAAAAAAAAAAAAAAAAAAAAAAAGATGAGCCTGAACACCCATGCTGACTTCCTGATAGTGGCACCCTTATATGTATTCTCTTTCCACTGAGTGGGGCTAGACTTAACTGATAGAGTGTATGCAATAGAATAGGGTAGAAATGATGAAGTATCATCTCTAAATTATTTTATTTTTAGTTTGTCAAGACAGGGTTTCTCTGTGTCGACCTGGCTGTGCTGGAACTCTGTAGGCCAGGCTGGCCTCTAACTCAGAGATCCACCTGACTTTGCCTCTGGAGTGCCGGGATTAAAGGCCTGTGCCACCACTACCCAGCCACCTCTTAATTTATAGCAGGGAAAGGTCAATGGTTTTTCTCTCACTGTCTCCAGGATTGATTGATTATTTATTTGTTTATTTTTGGTTTTTTGAGGCAGGGTTTCTTTGTGTAGTCCTGGCTGCCCTGGAACTTGCTCTGTAGCTCAGATATTGGCCTGCCTCTGCCTCTCGAGTGCTGGGATTAAAGGCCTGTGCTGTTACCACCACCACCACCACCACCACCACCACCACCACCACCACCACCACCACCACCAGGTTATTTTTTATTTTTTTGGTTTTTCGAGACAGGGTTTCTCTGTGTAGCTTTGCGCCTTTCCTGGAACTCACTCTGTAGCCCAGGCTGGTCTCGAACTTACACAGAGATCTGCCTGTCTCTGCCTCTGCCGGGATTAAAGGTGTGCGCCATCACTGCCCGGCCTATTTTTTTGGTTTTTCAAGACTGGGTTTTTCTGTGTGTAGCCCTGGCTGTCCTTGAACTTGCTCTGTAGACCAAGCTGACTTTGAACTTCCTGAGATCTGCCTGCCTCTGCTTCCATGTGCTGGAAGTAAAGCATCACCACCTCCTGGCCAGGATAATTTAAATTAGAAGGAGGCAGGCGGACTGCGGGCAGTCAGCTAGAGACCACATGACAGTCCAAAGAAGCGGAGGACTGAGCCCAGAGCCCATGAGTTCGCTTGAAGAACTAAGTCTGCCAGGCTACCTGAGTGAACTCTTTCAGACCCTTTCAGTCAGTCGTCCTTCAGCAAAGACTGTAGGTCTGGAGACACCATGACTGAAAACCTACAAAAGACCTGGAATCAGGAGTTCTTAGCCACATTTGGATTCATGACTCATAGAAATGGAAAGAGAATAAATGTTTTTTTATTTCAGTAGCTGTTTTGAGGATTTCGTTTTTTAATTTTTATGACTTAATTTATTCCATGTGTGTATATGTACAAGTACACATGTGCCATGGTGTGCATGTGGAGCTCAGGACAATTTGTTCTTTCTACTTTGTTGAGGCTAAGACTTTCTTTTTTCTGTCTCTGTGCTGAGTAGAGCAGGCTAGTTGGACTGTGCCCTTCTGGCTGATTCTCCTGTCTCCATCTCCCATTTCTCCTTTAGAGTTCCAGGATTTGAAGCTGGAGAGATGGCACAGCAGTTGGGAGCACTGACTGCTCTCCTAGAGGACTCAGGTTCAATTCCCAGCACCCACATGGCAGCTCACAACTGTCTATAACTCCACTTCCAAGGCTTCTGACACCTTCATACAGACATACATGTAGGCAAAACACCAATGAACATAAAAAATTATGTATTAAATAAAGAGTCCTGGGATTAGCCAGGCAGTGGTGGTGCATGCTTTAATCCCACTCTCGATCTTGGGGACTTAGAGGCCATCCTGGTATACACAGTGAGTTCCAGGACAGCTACATAGAGATACCTTGTTTTAAAAAGAAAGAAAGAGGGGCTGGAGAAATGGCTCAGAGGTTAAGAGCACCAACTGCTCTTCCAGAGGTCCTGAGTTCAATTCCCAGCAACCACATGGTGGCTCACAACCATCTGTAATGAGATCTGGTGCCCTCTTCTGGCCTGCAAGCATACATGCAGACAGAACACTGTATACATAATAAATAAATAAATATTTAAAAAAAAAAAAAAGAAAGAAAGAAAAAAAAAAAAGAGTTCTGGGATTAAAGATGTGAGTCATCACACATGGCCTTTCACTTGGGATCTGTGGCTGGAACTCCAGTCATCAAGCTTGCTTGAAAAACACTTTTTCCTGCTGAACCATCTCCATTTTTTTTTTTTTTTTAAGAAGCGTTAGTGTGTAGCCCAGGCAAGCTGTCAGGGGCTGTGTTGCTCAGTCTGCCTTTGAATTTGTGATCCTCCTGTCTTGGCCTTCTGAGTGCTGGGATTACAGGCGTGAGTCACCAACACCCGGCTTCTCTGCTAAGTTTTTTTTTTTTTTTTTTTTTAAGATTTATTTATTGTGTATTCAGTTTGCCTGCATGCCAGAAGAGCCCATTATAGATGGTTGTGAGCCACCATGTGGTTGCTGGGAATTGAACCCAGGTCCTCTGGAAGGGCAGTCAGTGCTCTTAACCTCTGAGCCATCTCTCCAGCCCTCTCTGCTAAGTTTTAAGGTTAAAAAAATTGTTTTGAGACAGAGTCTCATCTCACTATGTAGCCCTGGCTGTCATGGAACTTGCTGTGTAGACCAGGCTGGCCTTGAACTCACAGAGATCTGCCTGCCTCTGCCTCCCAAGTGCTGGGATCAAAGATGTACATCAGCATGCCTGGCTCTATCTAAAGTCATTGTTTTCTGAGACAGGGTTTCTCTGTGTGTCTGTGTAGCCCTGGCTGTCCTGGAACTTGCTCTGTAGACCAGGCTGGCCTTGAACTCACAGAGATCTGTCTGCCTCTAGCTCCCAAGTGCTGGAATTAAAATTGTGCACCACCACCGCCACCACCACCACCACCCAGCCTAAGGTAAATTTTAAATGTAGAAATAGTGTAAAGGCCAACAGCCCTTGGAGATCTTTGAGAGATCTTACTTTAAATGTATAGAAATGGAGGACCTGAAGAGAATCTGGAGCCAACTCTAAGTCACCAAATCTTGTTCTGTCTTTTTTTTTTTTTTTTTTTTTTTTTTTGGTTTTTCGAGACAGGGTTTCTCTGTGTAGCTTTGCGCCTCTCCTGGAACTCACTTGGTAGCCCAGGCTGGCCTCGAACTCACAGAGATCCGCCTGGCTCTGCCTCCCGAGTGCTGGGATTAAAGGCGTGCGCCACCACCGCCCGGCTTGTTCTGTCTTTTTTCTCATTTCTTTAACTCGTTCATCACTGTGGGGGAGGTTAACATCAAACTTTGCAGCAATACATTGGTCGTTCTTGTTACGTTTCTATTAAGGTCTTTGGAGCACCACTTATTTATGTGTGCATTTCTTGAGCTTTTGCTTTGTACTAGGCATTCTAAACTTAAGAATAGCCCTTATGGCATTTTCATTTCTGTTCCTACATCCTGAAGCAAGGATGTTTGGAATTACTAGCTACCTCTCAGATGTGAACAGGCTTTGAATCACTTCTGATTCTTCTGTACTGTCCTAAGCATCAAGTGACAAGGACAGCTCTAAACAGCTTGAGAACGCCATGGGGAATTCCTACCTGTAGCTAGTTTGGGCTCAGGATAATGTCTATATAGACATCATCTATAAAACCAGAAAATCCGCCAGGCAGTGGTGGCGCACGCCTTTAATCCCAGCGCTTGGGAGGCAGAGGTAGGTGGATCTCTGTGAGTTCCAGGCCAGCCTGGGCTACAGAGTGAGTTCCAGGAAAGGTACAAAGCTACACAGAGAAACCCTGTCTTGAAAAACAAAAACAAAACAACAAAAACAAAAAAACAGAAAATCCTTTGGCAAGTGACACTGGGTCTATTTATACTATTCTCAGGAACTATGTGGAATATGGGAGAAATTGACACCTTGAAAGGTGCAGGGATTTGGTGGGTTCACACAGGAAATCAGGAATAGAGACCAATTCTCATTGCATGGTGCCTTCTATCAAGATGACCAGAGGGTCACACACTTTATAGGTGAGGACATGATCTCAGAAATGAATAACTGTGTCCCAACCAATGGACTAGTAAGTTGTTTGCAGGATTTAGGATTTAGCTCAGTTGGTAAAATACTTGCCTAGCATTCTTGAGGCCATGGGTTTGATCTCTAGCACTTCTTAACTTGGTGTCTAGGTGTGGTGGTATACACCTGTAATCCCAGCACCCAGGAGAGGTAGGAGGATCAGGAGCACAAGGACAGGTAGGGTAGTGTCACACGCCTTTAATCCCAGCACTAGAGAGGCAGAGGCAGGCGAATCAATCTCTGTGAGTTTGAGACCATCCCAGTCTAAATAGTGAGTTTCAAGAGGAGATTTTTGGTTGCAAAGAAGAGCTTTAAAAAAGGCTACAAAGGCCGGGCAGTGGTGCGGTGGTGGCGCATGCCTTTAATCCCAGCACTCGGGAGGCAGAGGCAGGTGGATCTCTGTGAGTTCAAGGCCAGCCTGGTCTACAGAGCGAGATCCAGGACAGGCACCAAAAGTACACAGAGAAACCCTGTCTCACAAAACAAAAACAAAAAAAGGCTACGAAGTGAGACCCTGTCTCAAAAGAACAAAGCAACACAAACTGTTTGCAACCCCTTGAGGAAGCATTCAGCTGTGATACTGTAGGAAAGACAGGCTAACTAACTCCGTGACTGAGCAATTCACTCAGTCCAGTCCTTGCCTGTCTGACACTAGAGCAGTGGTTCTCAATCTGGGGGTCAAATGACTCTTTCACAGGTGTCACCTAAGACCATTGGAAAACACAGATAGTTGCATTATAATTCATAACTAGCAAAATTACAGTTACAAAGTAGCAACAATAATTTTATAGTTGGGGGTCATCACAACATGAGGGACTGTATTAAAGCGTCGCAGCATTAGGAAGGTTGAGAATCACTGCTCTAGAGGATATGTATAGAAAGTACTTTTAGATTACAGGAAGGGAGGGTAGCCCAGAGAAGCCTTTTGGTTGCTCTGGACTACAGTATCTCCTACCAGGCCATACCATACCCCCACACTGAAGTCTTCCCACTTACCAACTGAGCTGCGACCCCTGGTGGATGAGGAGGCTTATGGTGCTGCACCCGAGTACCAATAGCAGGATTTTCCTGCGGCTCATCATCGTGGTGGACTGCTGCAGGCGCTGGAGGATGGGTGGCATGGTGGAGTACTCACTCCTGGACCAGCCAGGACTTCACTATCCAGGACTTCCTTTACCAGCACTCATGGGGGGTCCTGGGGTTCTGGTAGCAGGGCCAGTGTTCCCAAAAACCTGGCAGAACAAGGAAACAGACAGGTTTGCAGTCGGCAGAGAAGCTATTCCAGGCTTAGTAGGACTTTGGCAAAAGAGAGCTTAAATGAGTGGAGTGAACAGAGATGCCAGGGTAGATTGAATTCCACCTCCTATCACCAAGACCCTATCTCCTCACTGTCCAGATAAACTAGTGTTGGGTGGAATTACAGGTCTGGGACGTGTCCAGCACTCAAGACTAAAGCCATTCTGTCTCTTGAGTCCTGTGTGTTTACCTCTCTGACTGTATCTAACTTGTCTTTGTCTCACGGCCATTTGAATCCAGCTCTGCATCAGTCTGCCATCAGCAATAGCGTGTGGCTCAGGACACAAGTCTCAGTCCAAGATTTTCCCTCTTCCAGGACTCCTTATCTGACTCTTTGAGCCAAGGGGTGGTCCCGAGTCCCCTGAGAATAAACTCCTCAGAAACAGCCAAGCCCTCACCTCCTTCAGTCGGATTGGTACTGCAGGCCTTCTCTGTTATTTTATTTTTTATTTTTTGGTTTTCTTGAGACAGGGTTTCTCTGAGTAGCTTTGGAGCCTTTCCTGGAACTCACTCGGTAGCCCAGGCTGGCCTTGAACTCACAGAGTGCTGGGATTAAAGGTGTGTACCACCACCGCCCAGCTTACTCTTCTGTATTATTACTAGCTCCTAATACCACAGGTATATCCTATTAAGCAGATGATGAAAATGGGTGCTAAGTGATGATGGTCAATTGTCCATAGTCACACAGCTAGTTACAGAAGTCTGGGAACTCAAATCTACGCTTATTAAAAAAATTTTTTTTTCAGATAGACAGGTCTTACTGTAGTAGTCCTGGCTGGCCTGAAACTTGCTATGTAGTTCAGAATGGCCTCAAACTCAGAGATCCACCTGCCTCTGCTGCCTGAATGCTGAGATTAAAGGTGTGCAGCCCCAAATCTAGCCAGATCTACTCTTCTGTCTCCAAAGTCCTTGTTCTTAGACTTTATGTGAGCTGTTCCCATTCAAAACTGATTTTTTTCAAGCTAGAGGGATATCTTAGTGGTTAAGCACTCTTCCAGAGAATCTAGGTTTGATTCTCAGCACCCACATGGTCGCTCACAACTTTCTGTAACTCAGTTCCAAGAGATCTGACACACGGATATACATGTAGGCAAAACACTCATACACATAAAATAAAAAATAATTTAAGAAAACCGTATTTTTTCGTCCCTGCCTGGTCTGGTAATTGTGCATTCTTCTGAGCTCTGAGCCCTCCTGTTTGTGTTGCTGCCTGGGACTAAATCCACCAGGGGAAGGAGGACTTGAAGCCCTGGAGCCCTGTCTGGATTCAATCCCCAGACACCCAAAAAGGTGGCTCCATTGGCTGACTGGTGCAGGTGCTTAGCCAAGGCAGTGGGACAGCAGCCAGAGTGGGATGGGGCAGAGGTGGGAGAATGAAGACATGTTTCCAACGTGCTCTGCTGAGACTTTCCAGAAGGAGATGAGCCTTCATTCTAGGGAAGAAGAGGGAGAGAGAAGGGCTTGATTTCTGTCCAGGCTTTCTTTCTCTGCAAGAATGTTGGCAGTTCAGGTGGAAAATAGCTTCTGCAGCCATGCCTGCCCCCAAGCTAGGGTGGGTCTGTCTTACTCCTGGGGTGTATGTGTGGGTTCAGACTCAGCATCAGCCCTCACACTACTCTGTGAAGGGGAGGAGGGTTTGCAACCTTAGGAGAATATGCATGGATATGGAACTAGGACACCTGGTCCCAGGAGGGATGAGGTAACTCTGTGGTTCTGGGCTTGGCTTACAGTTTCTTTTTTCTTTTTCTTTCTTTCTTTCTTTTTTTTTTTTTTTGTGTGTGTGTGTGTGTGCCCCTTTCCTGTTAATCCCAGATTACCCTTAAATCCATTTAGGTGGAAAGATGTCCTGTTTACAATTCTCTTTATCTCCAGGTCCCATCTTCTGATTTCCTCCACCAGCCTGTGACACATTAATCATCTTGAAGCCGAGAGAGCCAAGGGTCTGGCCACAGAGGGCAACCAAGGGCACAGCAGAGGCAGCCTAGGTCCTCCCTAACTTTTGGGAGGCAGAGCAGGCTTGGTCTCTAGTAGGAGGAAGTCAAATTCTTGGCCTTTTGAGGACTCAAAGTTTCTCTCTGTCACAAGTCCTGCTTGGAGAACTTGGTGAACAGATAGTTTCCCAAGAGATAATTAGAGGGCAAGTCTATTTCTACCTCCCTTAAACATGCTGAAACCATCCCATTTCTCAGAGGAATCTGAGCCAGCCAAGGAGGCCAAATGTAAGGTGAGCTACAATGGATCTTTTCCTGTCGTGGAGAATGAGGGTGCTGCCTGGTACTACCCATTCTAACAGGACTTTATCCACTGCCTACAAGGCTTGGATCTGGGGAGCCAGCCAGATTGCTGTCTAAGGTCTGAAAGAGGAACAGGCCTTCATCAATATAGGAATTCCCTAGATACCAGTTCCCAGGAATGGGAATACCAGGGATTTTGGTCACTGGCAATGATAATCACTTTCAGATACAGCCTAGACCATTCTAGCCCACAATCCCAAGGACCTTTCTGGGACTGTAAGAACTAGTCACCCTGCCTTGTGACATCCTCCTAGGCTTGACTTGTCCTTTCATCTCCTATTCTGTACTGTAGCTAGTTTCACTCTTCAGAGCACAAGGCAGATTTTTTTTCTTCATGACAGACATTCAGGTATTTGAAAGCAAGAACCCTGTATCCTGTATGTGGGCACTTAGCCAGAGAAACCATTGCAGGTCCAGATAGAAGTGCTTGGATACTAGGCAGGCAAGCCTGCCTTCCCTGGGTCAGGTCATTTCTGTTGTTGAGAAGGACTCAGCAGTGAGGGCCTGGAGGAGTTCCCTGGGCTGAGTTTTCCTCTGGTCTTGAGACTGAAGCAAATTGCTGGCCATGCTGCTGGTGCATGGCTTTGGAGGGATGGCCCTGGCTGCTGCCCAGAGAGGCTTCACCTGCTCTATCTCTAGTGTCTTTTCTAAGGAGAGAAAGAGGTCCCCTCCCCATCCCCAGCAGGTCAGGGTGCCAGCCTTATCAGAATAGCAGTGCTAATTTTAGTCAGAACAATCTACCTCAGGCTGCTGCCCAGATTTGTAAATTGCTTTCTTTTCTCTGGGGAACCAAAGAAGAAATGGTATCACCATCCAGAGCTTTGAAAACTAGCCCAGATGTCCACCCTTCTCCCAAATGATCTTTCTCTTCTCCCCTCAGAGCTCCAGGGCTGATGCTGATGTCCGTGGAGGAGTGGCTCCGAGGCCTGGACCACTGGGAGCTGTCCTCCCAGTGATGTGGAGTCTCAACCCGACTTGGGGCACGGCATAGCCCAGGTCACACAGGTCCCCAAGAGAAAAAGGCCGAGAGGGTAGCACAATAGGGCTTAAGAGATTGAATATCTTTCCATCCCTTCTTCCCCCTGCACCAGGTTTCCCCAGTCCTCTCTCTGTCATCCACCCCCGCTTTTATCCATGCCTCTGAATTCTCTTCATTCTCCTTTCTCCATCACTACCCACTCCCACCCCCACCGCGTCCCACATTCCCTTAATTTCCTCCCGATCTCTCCTAGAGATCTGGTCACTATAGGGAAGAGGCCAGATTCACCCACTTCTCTGCTTCCTGAGGTTACCGTGCCACCCCCTCAAGCTCTCTTGGCACTAGGCCCCCAAGATACTCTATTGCAACTGCCCAGGCTCCCATTCCTTTTGCAGTGTACCCTTGTTTCCTCCGGCTCCCGGCTGGCTACTGCAGTACTTACGCAGGCAGGCTCTGTCTCCAACTTGGGTCAGGGGCTACCTTCCGCTTCCCCTGGGCCCCTTGTCCTGAAATCTGCCGGGTCTGAAGGTAACGGGGCCCTGAACGCTCGTGCGGGTAGCTTGCCTTGCTGCGCCTGGATGGGATCAGGTGGCAGCGTCTGTGTCTGTCCGCTCAGCTCAGCTCGGCTCAGCTCTGCCCGCCCGTCCCCCATCTCACACCGGGGGCGGGGCGGGGGCGGGGGCCTGGCTGCTCAGGGGAGGGGGAAAAGGAGAAGCAGCAAGGGGAGGGGGACCCTGTAGCATGCCTGCTGCTGCTGAGCACTTTCCGGTGATACTGGCATCTTTGGATGCAGGCATCTTCCCCTTTCAATCTTGTAGAGAGCGCTCAACACCATTGTGCTCAACACACTTTTCTCCATCAGAAGTGAAAACCGAGGCTGGGAAGGTGTCAGTGAACTTCAACATTACAGCAGTACTGAGTCCCGTTGGTCTCTGGAACTTTTTGAGGTTGGGTTGGTTAGAGGTTCAGGTACACTTGGGCTCTCCTATATCTCCCCTCTCTTCCCCTCTACTTCCCACCTCTACTAGCCCTGTCTGGTCCTCTTCCCTTCTAGCTTGTCTTTCAGCTCTCCTGAGGCAGCTCCTAGTAGTTCACCCATGCCTTGCCAGGACTCCAGAGGTCTCACTTCTGACCAGAGCTGTTGCCAGGTCTGGGGTCTCTGTGCCCAGGCACCTTGCACCAGGAGCCTGAAACTCCAGTTTATTTCTGGTTTCTGCTGTTACTTCATCCTGGAGCCAGGAGCCACTTCCTGAGTCCTGCTACTCCCAGCACGGAAGTGGGCAGCTATTTCCTTGTAACAGTTCTGTTTGAGAGAGGGCTCCTGGTGGATGTCTAGCAGAATACCTCCCAAAGCCACATTAGATGCCATGAGCCCACAGTTGGTTCTGGGGCTGGCATGGGCTGTCCCCTTCATTCTGGGCAAGGAAAGGATCTTCAAATAGGGTAGCCACCCAAAACTGGTACTGAAAGGGACTGCACTGGTCCCTTCTGGTCTCATACAGCCAATAAGTGGGCATCTTGTAAGAATCCTTTGCCAAGGACAAGGGAAGGACTTCAGAGTCAGGGAATCTTGGACATGTCAGATTCTGTTTTCTCTCAGTCTTTACCTTTGCAGTTTGGTATCCTATCTGCATACCAAGACCATTGTGAAAAAAATCAGATCCTGCTTAGTGTGTCCTTTTCTGGCCCTAGTTATATTACTGATCCATCTGCTCTGTTGATCTTACCTTAAAGACACTGCCCTCCCTCTCTGTCTGAGCACATGGGGCCTCCAGCCTCAGATGACCTACTCTAGGCTCTCTAGTTACAGGAAGCAGAAGAGACTTCCTTTGGGCTGCAAATGGTCTGCCCGAGTGGGCTGACAAGCATAAGGAAAGGCCACCACTGTTCTTGATGGGAATCAAAAGGGGAAGGGTCAAAGCTTGGATGTGGTTGAAGAGAAAGAGAACCAGTCCCCCCCCCCCCCTGTATTTTCTTTTGTCTCTCTCAAACCTCACCTCTCCTGCATCTTGTGTGCCGTTCCCCCCCCCCCCCTTCCCAATTCTCCTTTGTGAACAGCTGGTGAAATGGAGGTGGCTAGGAAGAGAAAAGATCTGAAGTGTGTGGGTGGGAAATGAGACCATTTGTGTTCCTCTCCCTTATTCATCACACAACAAACAGGCTGTTATTGAGAGGGGCAGAACTAGTGGGAGAAGTGTGGAGACAAAATGAATTGGTGGATGTTGGGCAGGCAGGGGTCATGGTGTCTCGCCCCAAGAAAGGTCCTGAGTGGTTTGGGCTTTTTTTTTTTTTCCTACAAGAAGATAAAATCCCATGGTTAGATTCCCCCCACCCCACCCCCATAATAATTTATTAGGTGCCTCCTGGATGATAGACAGAAAAAGATCACAGGATGGTGGTGGCGGCGGCGGCGGCGGCGGCGGCGGCGGCGGCGCATGCCTTTAATCCCAGCACTCGGGGGGCAGAGGCAGGCGGATCTCTGTGAGTTTGAGGCCAGCCTGGGCTACAGAGTGAGTTCCAGGAAAGGCGCAAAGTAACACAGAGAAACCCTGTCTTGAAAAACAAACAAAACAACAACAAAGATAAAGTTCTTGCTCCTGTTTTGGGAATGGAGGTAGGAATAAAGGGTAGAAAAGTCTTTAAAATGAAACAGGACAATAGATTGGCTCACACTTGTAATACCAGCTCTCAGGAAGCTGAGGCAGGAGGCTTGCCAAAAGCTAGAGGTTAGCTTGGGCTAGAGTTTGCTCCAGGACAGTCAGACCTTCAATAATGAGTCTTGATCTCAAATACTAGACCTCCCACTCCATGAAGCAGGGCATGGTAGTGCACATCTGTAATTCTCAAAGGATCAGGAGTTCGAGGCTAGCCTGG